GAACGTCCTGGTTTCCTCTAGTAAGTACCAGTTTATTTATATAGGCAAGAACTGTAGAATTTCTAGGTCAGTGGATTCCAAAGAATGTCATACAACTAAATCTTATAACTTTTATTGAAAATTCGTTATCAGCGCATGCCAACAAAATGCCCGTATTAAAGCCTTCAATAGAGAAGTGGCTTTTGACATGAACTAAACTATTACTTTAGCTCAAACACAACAGCCGTCATCAAGGATTTCACAAGCAATAAAAATATGCAGTTCAGAGTAAACATGTGCAGTGCCGAATGTAAAGTTCATAATTTCTTTCCATCAGTTTCTGCGGACTACTTTGTTGCTCTTAGAGATTTAGGAGCATTGCCGAAAGATCATAAATCTCAAAATATTCCACCGATTAGAAAAATGTCTAGTTGACTTAAGTTGTAAACAGCTATACATACGCACTGTATTTTAGTCGTTCCGCAGCCGCACAACTTAATGTCTACCAATGCTTTCTATCTTTAGTGCTAACACCATCTGAAGGCATCTAAAATTCAGTTCGGCGTCTATAGGAGATCTACATGGACGGTTAAACCTATCACCTACAAAGCTACTCATGAGGTGAAATAATGCTGGATAATGTAGCCAACCGTTTTGCAATTAACGCATATCTGCGAGAGTAAAAACAAGCGTCAAGAACGTACTCCTGAAGGGATACAAAGGACCTGGCTCTGCATCCCTCCACTTCCAAGTTGTAAGAATGCAAAGATTACCCAAAACATATAGGCCAACTCAGTTCCATGAGAATTTGATTAATCATTTTAACAGTTTTAATAGAATAGATGACATCTAAACAGGAAAGGGCAGATTTGAAGGCCGATCCTTTTCAACTAACACCAGTCAGATTCAGTACTGATATTTTTCCTCATTATCATCGTATCAACCGTAGATACTTTGAAAAACATCTCAATAGCACCATAACGTAGTCACTGCCCTTTCCTCCAACCGAACTGCGCATTGAGCACAGATGAAGGCTCATTATCTAAACGAGATGAATAACTACTCCAAAGCTAGCCTAACTTACAGCTGGTTCATTACGTTAAAGTGTGGATCATTGGAAATTTTCGTTTAGATTAAATGCTGCTTACCTACTCCCTAAATCAGTAACTACGTCTTGAAATTTTTATCTGACATGTTTTTATAAAGTAGTGATTAAACAGCGGTCAGTTCATTCATATCTAGCGTGACTGTTGTTATTTGTGCTGAGGGAAAAGGATCACTATAAATCTTTAAATGAACAGTGTACATTTAATCCCCTCACAGCAAATACCACACACTATATTACACAGCACATTAATATTCTTGGTGTCTGTTTTCTGAAAATGATGGAATACGTTTCGAAAGGTAATT